CCCCACCCGCACCTCAGGCGGTGGCGGTGTAAGACACAGGGGAGGCCGGGCCAATCGGTTTGGCGGTCTGGCGAGTCCCTTCGCGTAAGTCCTGATATCGTGCTGTTGCCCCGTTTGCTCAGGTTCCTCTCGCCGCCAATTGAGTGCTCCAGGATGGCGTTGGCGTGGCTGCGCCCCAATCTGATGGAGGTGGCCGTCTGGTGTCAGGGCATCGTGTCACTGGTGCGAACCATCTCTTTGCGAGTACCAAACGCTGGCCAACTGTAACATGCTGTTGCCTAATTGCTTTTCCTTCGATAGATGATGGGTTCTGTAACTGTGAGAGTGATTAGTGGCCACGGATCTGAGCTCAACCCTCTATTTATCAACGCCTTCAAGTACTTCAGGACCTTGGTGGTAGCCGTCGTGGTGCTCGTGTGTATCTGCAAGAATCACCAGGTACGTGACTGTCATGTTTGTCGTGTGTAGTGCTCCACTATAGACCTTTTCGACAGTGGTTGAGGTTAGAAACAATTTGGAGGCTGCAACTCTTTTCTTTCGAACTGTTTGAACTGTTTTGACTTTGGAGCGCAACAACGGACGACTTGTTCCATTGCTCTACGGAGTCAGAATTTGCTACAGGGTGGCCGCTCTGCCCCGTAGTTTTGAAAAGGTAGACTAGCCCGCTTGCAGACGGAGCGGGGAGGTGAGAGGGGACGGGTGAGGGAGGTGCGGGCGGGCTAGTCTACCTTTTTAAAACTACGGGGCAGGGCAGAGCGGCCACCCTGTATAAAACATTCCGGTTAAGCTGAAATGCAGAAGAATGCGGGGAAGAAGAAAACGGAAATCGCTATGCTTTAACATAGTGACTTCCGTTTTCTTGTTCCCTGTATTCTTCTGCATTTTAGCTTTACCAGAATGCTTTATTAGGGTTCATTGAACATGTTCTAGGCGATGAAAGTTTTCATCCCCCTTCCCTCCCCTACCCCCTCCTGCCCCCTCACCCTACCGTCGAAAAGGTCTATGGTGTATTTCGTCTAACGGAGGAAGAAGAACAGCAGGTAGAACATAAACGTTACCGATTGGTCGAGAGCTTCCCGCCTCTACGTCACGCCGGTAGTGGGGGTAGGCGCTCGGCCAATCAGGAACCTTGTATGTTCTACCCGCCATTCTTCTTCCTCTGTTAGTTGAAATACACTATCGGTCCAACGCTGCAAGTAGACTGTTAGGGCGCGCGAAAGACCCCACGGCAGAACAAAAGGGCCGTGCACCTTAGCCGAGTATGTGCGGGAGACCGCTGAGACAAGCACGGCACGGGCCGTTTTGTTCTCCCGTGCGGAGTTACCCGCACCCCCCGCAGGCCTAGCAGATCTTCCTTTGTTGTTCCGCGTTGTTCCCCGTCGAGCTAACCGAGTTCTGGTCCTCTGCAGCGCCGGGCCTCCAAGGATCCGCTTTACATCGTCGCTTCTGACGCCATGTTCTTCGGTCAGCAACTCATCTTCTGCGGGGACTTGACGATTATCATCGGGCCGGACGTGTTGAAGGGAGTGGCACCAGAACTCGACAACTTCTGTCTACTCGTTTTCGTTCTCCACGCGGTTGTGACCGTGATGTTCATATGGGGCGCGATAATGCTCAGTGAGGAGAGAAGGGCCCTTGTCGCCTGGCTCGACGCGGAGGCGAAAGCCAA